GCTATTCTTATACCACACTAAACTTTCTCATCATTTTATATTTCATTATTTTACTTCAACAATCAGCAAATGACATATTTTCTTGAATAGTAAAGTACTACTCATAAGTTATATAAATAGTATAATTTGATTCAGAAAAAAAGTTCGTTATCTGTTCTACGTTGACTGACATTGTTAACATAGTTGAATTCAGTAGTCAACCTAAATTAGACCACGATTGAAAACCTGGAAGCACTGGATAGTTGTTTCGTCCTAGTATGAAACTACTAGGTTGCTCACCCACGTTCCCACACAAGACACTCGAACCCAGGCCCTTCGGTCTCGCGCGAGAACGCCTAACTCCCAGACGACTGAGTCTGCATCTAACGGTGTCCAACTTCAATCAATCCATGATCTTACGCAATCCCTCATTCATTGTCCAAGGTGGACAAATGTGTCACACCTAACATGGACTGGACTCCACCGATCCTGGCTTTTTACTAAGACTCCAGGTTTGGGTCCCATGTGAGAAATCGTGGATGCGCACTTTGAAGAGTCCCATACTAGGACGAAACGGCCTTCCAATGACTCCAGGTTTTCAATGGTGGTCTAGCTTAGATATACCAGTAAATTCAACTCTGAAAATACTAAGATTTCTACAGATTTCTTACTTTAGAAACAACCGACTTCTCATGATAAGTTATTAAACTGTAGGGCAAAAATTGATAAATCCATAACAACATGTCTGTACATCGCCTATCAATCGTTAGCTAAAGGAAGTAAGCTTATTGTAATTTGATTTTTTAGGAAAATAAGGAAAAATATGTATGCGTATATGTAAATCCCAGTCATTAAACCAGTTCTAGAACTCAATGGGCGTTGTTTTTGTTGTATTTTTATCCAGTTCATTATCATTATAATTATTTCGATTTTTCCTAAAGTTTCTCTTTCAATCATAAATTATCCAACTATGTATATTGAGTGATTCAAATTATTCTTTGATTTATCAGTATAAATTTTACATGAATTTGATAGAGTAGATTAATAATAATGACAAGTAAGTGTTTTCAATATTCGTGAACTCTCTCCATCTGTGACTACAATCATTTTAATAGCTGAATTCATCAGTCAATCTGAGCTAGACCACCATTGAAAACATAGAAACACTTGACTGCCGTTTCGTCCTAGTGTGAGACTCCTAATCAGTGCGCATCCAACGATCCCGCACTTGGGATTCGGACCTAGGATCTTCGGTCTCGTGAACGAACCCTTAACCTCTAGACCACTGAGCCGGTATCCTGGAGTTCTAGTGAGAAACCAGGATCAATGGAGTCCAATCCTTGCGGGTAGATACAGGTATCTGCCTCGGACAATGGGTAAATGATTGTGCATCCATTCATGGATCGATGGAAGTGAAACATTAACACCGTTGGATGCTGAACGAAGAATAGATGAATGGTAACTGCAAAGAATTATTTATGGACTATTGTTACATATATTCTCATAAGATAATTAATAAGTAACTAGAATTATATATATATATACCTTTTATCATAAGCTTTCATTTAACTTACTGGCTAATGTCATACGATTTATCAGGCTAAATTTATTCCCAGTTTATTAGCTACAGTCTTCCGCACAACCACATTTGGTTTGATTTTATATAATAGTCGTTTTCCATTTTATGGTATGATGCTGTCTGATTTGTTGTATATAAACCAAGTCTGTCTGAAGTGTACGATTCGTATAGCGGAGGCTGATATTTGTATTCTGGACTGAACTAACTGGACTAGGCGAGAAGCTGATGTACAGAGGACCAATAAAGGATTCGGAGTTGACTCAAGGGTGCTTGTTCTGGTTGGCATGTCATTGGTTTAGTACAGGGGCCAGGTTATAAAAGCCGGTTTTCTGATTAGCAATCTTGTCACGTGATATTTGACGGGCCACTGGACATAATAATAACATGCAGGTATCTCAGGCATCCAACGGTGTTAATGTCTAACTATAACCAATCCACCATCCATGAGTTATCATCCTTCAGACAGTAGATTCTTGAGCAAGATATTATCAAATGGATTGAGTGTATGAATATCCTAATAACTTCAGTTAAATTCTTGATAATAAATTTATCGTTCTCTGATAAAAAGTAATCGTATTGTATATCAAAGCATTCTTTATGAACTCATCTAGCAAAACCGATGAACAATGACTTAGTTGGATATACTGGCATCGAAGATGAAAACACAATTAGTTGAACAAATTTCAAAAAAAAAAAACAATCGACAAATTATTCAAACATTCTTATCAAGTATTACTAATGATTTATACTTTCCTATTGTAGATATTCAAACTCTATCACAACATTGTTGACCCTGAGCGAGTTGATTTATTATAGTGTTATGTAACAAGTTTTAGTGTGCTTGAAATGTGGTTAGCAGTGAAGATTAAGACGCTTGGTTTAACGTATTTGGAACTTATGATCTGGATGTACCTCCATGTGTGTTGACATTTCCACCAGGATTCGAACACTGCTTTTTTCAGTCCAAATGCAAACGAGTTATTTACCATGCTAATGAGTCCAGACAGCCACCATCTTGTTTAGTGGGTACGAATGTATTACTGAGAGTCTGAATATTCAGGACACTAACTGATCACTATCTCTTGCTATAGGTTCTACCACTGATCATTTCATACCCGTGATTATCCGAACTCAGTGGTTCAGGGGATAATGAGTTAGTGTTTGAAGTGAAAGTTACTGGGTTCAAATCTCATTGTGAACATGAATACTTGGCCTTAGGAAATGATTCCACAACAGGATGACACTAGCGTCTTAGATCTCCCCGCCAACCACAAATCTAATATACTCATTGTGTCCAGAATCAATCCGCTAATGAATACAAGACTAAACGCTTGATAATAATATGCATTAACTCAAGCTATTCCACTATACAACAGTACATTAAAAGACAGGAAATTATGAAGACAGAGGTCATCAAGGAGACATATAATCAATTTCATCAAAGGATTAAATAAAAAGTATGATAAGGTGAGATTACAAGATGTAAAGTACGGAATGTCACAAAACTCATGATATAGAATCATATCATTTGACGTATCCAAAACGCGGATTGTATCGTAATATTTAAACTGGAAGTTTCTTCCTACAAGCGATAGCATACTTCTATAACGTGTATTGAACACATCTCTTTGCTAGGCTTTTAATCCAACCTACACTTAAAACAGTAAAAGTACTTAGTAGAAGATTATATGTAACAAATGTCACAAAAACTGAACAGTCATGAATATTTATGACTTCATTATTCAAATGATCATTTATTCTTAAGGCCTTATACCTTATAGCAACGAAGGATAGAAGTATGTTTTATTACTTAACTTCAAAGATGTTTAAGGATTGTGAATATGAGTAAGCAAATAACAAATTATTCAACCGACTTATGGTATTATCATTTAGTTCATTTTTATTGCCTTAAAATATTTGTTTAGACAGTGTTATGAGTTAAAAAGGTAGTAATCAAATGAATGAAAGAATTTTATCCGTTGTGAATACTTTTCCTTAGATAATATCATACTATAATACCTGGTGAAAAGTGCGATGTACAGATGCATAGTTCTCCTTCTTCGAGTACGCTAGGTGTTCCTGAAACCAGTCTAATGTCCTCATCTAAATGTATATTGCATTACTAGCAAGTATTAGTCTTCAGTAGTGAAGATAGAGGATAAAATGATCTATGTTATTCCTTGAACTTTGTAGTGATGTTAAAACCAAATCTTACTTTGACGTACACGGTGTTAACATTATGAATTGTGGCATAGAATCCCAGTTAGTCAGAAATGCAAGCCAAGGTATAAATTGTTTGATACTAGTTTTTGAATTTTTAGATATAAAAAAATACAAGAAGGTTTGATACCAGAATCATCGTTCAGAATACATTTATCCAATATTAAATCTCCTATTAGACTATAATAATATATTTGAAATAAGTTAAGATGTCTCAGTCTACTTTCATTCTACAGAATAGAAAAGCCTGTCATCATTTTAATTCCTAACTGTTGGACTCACTAAGACGTATTGGCATCATATTTAAAGCGAAAGCTCGTAGCCTGCATTCCATATTTTCAATCTGCTTATCACTATCGTTATGTCCAAACCTCTATGCTTTAAATTCTTCATCCTAAGTAGTTTCATTTTACGACATTTTGGCGTAACATAATAACAGGAACAACTTAAACGATTTTGTATTAGTTGCTTGAATCTCCCCACTGACACTTAGTACTTTATATAATATATATGCATCCTGTTCAGATTGCCAGTGAGTCACAAGCGTTTTATACAGAGAGGGATGGTGGTTAGCAGTAGAATGCAGGAGACGCGTTCATCCTGTAGAAAGATCCAAACAACCAATATATATGGACTTAAATTAAAATTCACCCATTGCACAAGCAGGCGGCTATCTGATCTCAGTAGCTAAGTGGATAACACAATGACATTTGAAGCGAAAGGTAGTTGGTTTCGAGTCCTTAAGCGAACATCAGCTCTGGGATTCAGGTAAATCTGGCTAATGTGTTCAAATAAGGATGAAACGCTCGTCTTGGATTCTACTGCAAACCACCATCCATCCCTGCTTACAAAGTGAATGATAATAAAGATGAGTATGGTAAGTTTTACATAACATATTTGATAAAGTGTGACGTTATTCATGATCGATAACCGCTACTAACCATTAACACTTTTTAAGTTTAAAATAATATCATCTCTACAATACTTATAACTAAGATACAACTAATCATTACTACGTTTGTTACTAATGTAAGAACTGTCATAGTTCTGAATTAATAAATCCATCGAATACTATTACTTATTTTGACTACAGAAAACAATCTATAAATTAGGAGATGATATTCATGACTAACCAATCAAAAAACCAAACAGTATTGATCGTTTAAGGTCAACCTGAATTAATCAACCAATAATAATAAGAAAGTAATTTATCCCAATTGCATATAGATATACATAGATATATATACCACATCTAAGTATGTATATATTTATTTAGTCACGTGTTTTACTCCAGTCCCTTCCAAAATATCGTGGTTGGAATATCATGAATTTGATCTCAGCTTATGTATATCTTTTATTAATCATCTTTATAAACCATGCTTATTCAGCACGACCACTTACACCTTATCAAAGAAGTAAGTAATCATCATTTTAAGATGGGAATAAATATTGACTACATAGATTAAATTACATATTTTATATAATACTACTTACAAAATTTTTAATTTATAACAATTATAATAATCAGTATAGGGTTGTGGAGATTACTAAATTATTGATCGAGATCATGAACTGATTAGTGTTGGACTATTACTGAAAATCAGGAAGCACTTGACGGCCGCCTCGTTCTATTATGGGACTTCTCAACAGTGCGCATCCACGATCCCGCTCGTGAGACTCGAACCGAGGGCCTTCAGTCTCGAGTGCGAATGCTCAACCTACTAGACCACTGAGCTGGCATTCAACGGTGTTAATGTCCAACATGAACCAATTCACGAAATTGAGCGACCATCTTCCATTGTACTGAGGTAAATACAAGTATCTACGGGTATCTATCCAAGTTTTCAATGATGGTCTAACATCAATTGGTTCATGATCTCAATCAATAACAATTATAATTAACCGGGGTTATCCACATTGTTTTCAGTGTTCATCAAGTATATTTTCTAGTAATTTCGGTCATTTTTTCCATTCATTTAGTGAATGTTTGCTTAACATCTGTGTGTAATTTCCATCAAAGATTTTATTTTGATCCTCTAGTGTTATCTTTAATTGTTTGATATGAACATGACAATGTAACGTAGCCCGACATGTCAGCTGAAAAAAAGAAACACAAATGTACTGAAAATTAGTTTTTGAAATGAAATCTTTTATGAAAATTACATTCTAATATCCAAGATTTACTCGTTATATAAACTGTAAACACAGATACAATATACTTACTGAATATTGAAAATGGGCGAGACTATAATTTATGGACGAACCAATGAGATATAAGATAACAAACAAGTCACGAAATTGGGTGCGGAATTCAATCATACATTTGGCTTAATAGAGTTTTGGCATTATAGCTGACGTGAGCTTGTGATGAAAACCTTAAATCTAATTTTTAACCATAACTACCAACTGTAAATGAGAATTCTAACTGCTTTATAACCCTTATTTAGTCCTAATTAGTAGTTGTTCACTATCAAGGTCACTTCAATGTCGCTCAAAGGCCATCCATAAATTATAGTCTGACATGGTTTTTTGGGGGTGGTGTTCAGTTAATGTAGAGTTCCCCCTCCCCCCGTGTCCCCCCGCCCCCCCCTGTTTATGCCGGCCGGTTCCCCCCTTGTATTGTTGGGTGGTGCAGTGTAGGGCCTGTTGTGGGGTTGGGGGGGGGGTAGTGGTGGTATATGTGTGGGTGGTGGTGGTTGTTGTCTGGGGGCGGCTTTTTATGTTTTTATTTTGGTCGTTGTGGTTGGGGTGGTAGCATTATTGTGATTATTGAATGGGTCTGGGTGGTTCAAGTTTAGTTGTGTTAATTGTTGTGATTTTTATTAGTGGTTTGGGTTTGTGGGGTAACGGACTGTGTGGGGGTTTTACTCGTGGGTGGATGTGTGGTGATTGTTTTGTTCATTGGGGTGCATGGTTCGACGTTCTGGTTTGGTCTTTTGTTCGATTTTGGTAGTTGTGTGGGCGGGGGGCTTAGTTGATTTGGTTGATGCTGATTATTTTTGTGTTCTGAGGGGGGGGGGATCTCGTTGGGGGAAGGTGGGGTTCAGCCGTTGTTTGTAATAGTTTATATTTTAGTAGTTTTTTTAAAATCGTGAATTGATCTTAGCTAGAATACCATTGGAAATCAGGAAGCACTCAACAGCTATTTCGTTCTACCATGGAATTCCTCAGCAGTACACTTTCACGACCTTGACACAGAGAATAGAACCGAAAACCTATGAATGATTTATCATTGCCACATAACTATCTCGATCATTCTGATTACTCAATCATGATAACCACCTTTTTAGCAGATAGTCAAGTATCTTAGCAGCTTCACTGTTTGAACATGTTTAATACAAAATTAAAATCATTAAACATTGAACTGTCAGTGTGAAATAGAAAACTGTAAATTTGTCACTAAAATATGTACTAGTTCATGTTATCACATTTTACAATACTATACAATGCCAGAATGTTTGAAATGCGCTTCTCTCCCTCTAAATGCAAGCTGCTGCTTCAGGACTGGTCTACGTCAACACTTGAACTAAGGATAGAGAGTGAAGTAGTCGAATGTGTCGAAAACTTCACTTATCGTAACCAATGGTTGGAGACTCTTGATGACATAGCTCAGAATCGATCACAATGGCGTAGGTGTATACACTCTCTGTCTTTCCATAAACTAAGAAATTAAAATCGCTTCATATCTTTCTTTCTAAGAACTAATTCTTTCTTCGTGTACTATTTCCTTATTGCAATCTTTTTTATATATTACCGCCTCTGAATTAACTACTTTTATGAATCCGGTGTCCATCTATTTGTGTTAATGAGGTATGGTAACTTGGACCGATGCATTTATGTGCCTGGTCCTACGTTGTAGACGACTGACTGACAATAGTATACATGAGATTTACAAGAAGATAATCAAATAGAAAATGAATTAGAAATTACCTAACTAAAAATTACAAAACGATATTGAATAACAAATTCTTCACAATGTAAATAGGATGAATATTTGCTATGGATATTTCATGGAAGAAAATGTATCATTTGTATTAGTATCGAAATTCCACGGAAACAGGAATGAAAATTAAATTATTTTAAGTATTATCTATCATAATTTCAGCTCAAAATCTAATTTCATATTTATAGTAAAGTTGGATGGTGGATAGTAGTGAAATCTGGGACTTACGTCTTGTCCGATTTTGAATAAGTCACTTAGAAACCACTATATTTCTGTCTTAATTGTCATTCTCAAAGTCGAACCGAGTAATTTTTACTTCACGTTTAGTTCATGTTACCTATTGAGTTATAGAATCCAAATAGCCACCAGCTTTTGCAATGGAAATAAACGGTTATTTATTATTTAAAACAGATCATATCTTCATGTTGTTGACGCTAGGGACTGAAATTGATCAGATTTGCGATAACAGGTTTTAACTTTTAGCGCGAAATTCATTCACTCATTTGTTCAAATAACATTTTGGCATTTTAACTAATGTCGGTTCGTGATGAAAACCATAAATCTAATTCCTAACACTAACCATTAACCGTAAATCATAATACTTATACTTCAAACTGCTTTATAACTCTCATTTAGCCCTAATCAGTAGGTGTCCACTCTCAAAATCACTTTAGCGTCGCTCAAATGTCGTCCATAAACTATAATCACACCATCTTACTTAATATTTTTCAGTGTTTAAGAAAGAATTTAACATAAGCAATAAAAATTTATCTCATTAATATTTACGTAACCCGATCACTCAATGATGGAACATTCCTATCATGACAACCGAGTTGATATGTATATATATATATATATATATTAGTTGGAAATATTTTCTTTTAGGTTTGTACAATAGCAACCAAGTTGGTTGGATAGTTGTAAGGTTGCAAGAAAAAGATTTAAGATTAGAGAACAAAGTTGTACTGATGATTATTTTTAGTTTCAAAATTATCTTGTACTTTGCTATTCAATGAATTCACTCTTTCATCCTAAATGATACTTTTTTATACTTAAAATTTCTACCATAACTGATATTATGGCTGATTCTATTACTCTGTCATTTATGTTAATAACTACTCTTGATTATGTTGGTATGGTATAACAACTTGAACCGATGCACATATCTCCCATGTTCTACAATGCTTTTGACTGACTGGTTGGTCAATATATTAGAATATTCGTTTTTAAAAACATTTGGATATTTATTGATTAGTTTCTATTTAATATGACCTTGAATCTTATTGATTTTCATTTGTTTAAATTATATGTAGTATAGGTGTAATATAATGATTATATAATATCCCTTTAAATGAATAAATCATTATCAAGATCTTATCAATCTTTGTTTTGTGTAAGTTTAAAATATTTTCTTCATTATACAAAATAAACGAGTTCAAAATAGATGGACTATTTATAGATTTTTGGAAAGTACAATGTATTTAATCCCAATCGATGTTGGCTTACCAACAATTGAAGAGATCAGTATGGTCATCAGACAAATCAAGAATAGCAAAGCAACAGGACCAGACAACATTCCAAGTGAGGTACTGAAAGTAGACGTAGCGGTAACTGCAAGGAGACTACACATCCTCTTCAGCAAGATTTGGGATGAAGAACAAGTAGTAACAGATTGGAAGGAAGGACTTCTGATCAAAATATCAAAGAAAGGCGATCTCAGCAACCGTAATAACTACGGGGGCATTACTTTTCTCTCAATACCGGGAAAGGTCTTCAACAGAGTATTGTTAAACAGGATGAAGGTCTCCATAGACACCCAAATTCGAGACCAACAGGCTGGATTCCGTAAGGATAGATCATGTACAGACCAAATCGCAACTCTACGGATCATTGTGGAACAATCAATTGAATGGAATTCATAACTTTACATCAACGTCATTGACTACGAAAAGGCATTTGATAGCGTGGACAGGACAACATTGTGGAAGCTTCTTCGACACTACGGCGTGCCTCAGAAGATAATCAATATCATACAGAATTCCTATGATGGATTAAACCGCGAAATTGTGCATGGAGGACAGTTGACAAAGTCGTTTGAAGTAAAGACCGATATCAGGCAAGGTTGCTTATTCTCACCCTTCCTCTTTCTCCTGATGATCGACTGGATCATGAAGACGTCAACATCTGAAGGGAAGCACGAGATACAGTGGACATCTAGGATGCAGTTGGACGATCTAGACTTCGCAGAAGATCTGGCCCTTCTATCGCAATCGCAACAACAAATGCAGGAGAAGACCAGTGTAACAGCAGCCTCAGTAGCAGTAGGTCTCAATGTACACAAAGCGAAAAGCAAGAATCTCCGATACAACGCAGCCTAACTGACGGAGAAGATTTGGAAGATGTGAAAACCTTTACATATCTGGGCAGTATCATTGATGAACAGGGTGGGTCTGATGCAGATGTAAAAGCACAGATCGACAAAGCAAGAGCAGCATATTTACAACCGAAGAACATCTGGAACTCAAAACAACTGTCAACCAACACCAAGGTCAGGATTTTCAATACAAATGTCAAGACAGTTCTACTGTATGGAGCAGAAACCTGGAGAACTACGAAAGCCATCATCCAGAAAATACAGGTGTTTATTAACAATTGTCTACGCAAAATACTTCGGATCCGTTGGCCAGATACTATCAGCAATAATCCATTGTGAGAGAGAACAAACCAGATGACAGAGGAGGAAGAAATCAGGAAGAAGTGCTGGAAGTGGATAGGACACACATTGAGGAAAGCACTCAACTGTGCCACAAGACAAGCCCTCACATGGAATCCTCAAGGCCAAAAGAGAAGAGGAAGACCAAAGAACACACTACGCCGGGAAATGGATACAGACATGAGAAAAATGAACAAAAATTGGATAGAACTGGAAAGGAGGGCCAAGGACAGAGTGGGTTGGAGAATGCTGTTCGGAGGCTTTTGCTCCATTTGGAGTAACAGGCGTAAGTAAGTAAATAACAATGTATTTAAGACGACTATTTTCCTATTACACTAATTTTGTATAAGGCGATGATACATATTTTTGTATTAATCATCTAACATAAATTTAATAAAAATCATAATGATCTTTACCGATCGATATTTGTAGTTGATAACATAAAGCCAAATTTAATGTGGTGCATGCTACTTTTGTTAACAGATATAAGTAGTATGTAACACTAGTCGTAAGTGGAATTGTAGTGAAGGAGAATATAGAATCTCTTAGTAAAATCTGAGAACCATACAATAAAGAGTTCATTCGCAAAATGTTAATCAATTGTCTTAGACTTCACTATTCCATCATTTCCATACCAAACATTCTCTGTTCTCATTCTCTTTACTTCGATCTTCTTAACCTTCTCCCTCCAGACATTTCACTTTCTATTGATGATACATACTACTTGTATCTGCCGATATCAGTAACACACACACCAGAGAATGTCTGCAAGCAGAAGGTTCAGTAGACTGAACTGAAGTGAGGAGAAAAGGAAATAGAAAGCAATCAATATATCAATAGGAACAAAGGGACAATGATACATGTAAGAGACAATTCAAAAAGGATGTGTAAATGATATGTTTGGTATATGCTTTTCACATCATACTAAACCACTATGTCATTGTACATGAAACACTAAATTGGTCTTCTTCACCTGAGTGTTCGTTCACTACAATGATATGTATAAAGCATTGTTTTTTATAACACTAATTAGTGCACTATAAATCATAGATGTAGATAATATTTTGCCTTGATATCAATGTTAGTAAAAGATCGCATAAGTATGGAAATACTTTTCGTAACATTATCATTGATGGAGTTTGGATAACTTAGTTTTTGTAGATATCCAAATGTTTTTAAAAACGAATATTCTAATATATTGACCAACCAGTCAGTCATAAGCATTGTAAAACATGGGAGATATGTGCATCGGTTCAAGTTGTTATACCATACCAACATAATCAAGAGTAGTTATTAACATAAATGACAGAGTAATAGAATCAGCCATAATATCAGTTATGGTAGAAATTTTAAGTATAAAAAAGTATCATTTAGGATGAAAGAGTGAATTCATTGAATAGCAAAGTACAAGATAATTTTGAAACTAAAAATAATCATCAGTACAACTTTGTTCTCTAATCTAAAATCTTTTTCTTGCAATCTTACAACTATCCAACCAAATTGGTTGCTATTGTACAAACCTAAATGAAAATATTTCCAACTAATATATATATATATATACATATCAACTCGGTTGTCATGATAGGAATGTTCCATCATTGAGTGATTGGGTTACGTAAATATTAATGAGATAAATTTTTATTGCTTATGTTAAATTCTTTCTTAAACACTGAAAAATATTAGGTAAGATGGTGTGATTATAGTTTATGGACGACATTTGAGCGACGCTAAAGTGATTTTGAGAGTGGACACCTACTGATTAGGGCTAAATGAGAGTTATAAAGCAGTTTGAAGTATAAGTATTATGATTTACGGTTAATGGTTAGGGTTAGGAATTAGATTTATGGTTTTCATCACGAACCGACATTAGTTAAAATGCCAAAATGTTATTTGAACAAATGAGTGAATGAATTTCGCGCCAAAATTTAAGACCTGTTATCGTAAATTTGAATTGATTCACCCATAAATGATAGTCTCGCTTATTAATCTTATATGTTTTAATTTTACTGATTATTATATACTTCGTTGATACGATGTTTACTAAAGATTTTCGAAAAACTGAAGTTTTGTGATCACAAAAATACATATAATTCATATCCGGCTTTTCTAAATGATATTTTAATTTAATGTTCCACAAATGATTATTATGATGCATTTACAAATAAGAGTTTATTATTATTATTATTATTTATTTTAACACATAGATATTGGTACAAGGAGGCAACAAATACATATGCGCCACACCAATCTCATTCGATATGTGAGAGGGCTGTGATACTGCACGGGTGCCCAGACCGAAGCAGGTGGTTGTCATAGGGAGCCATTCCCCGAGCCTTCGACCTGAAGGTCTGATCCACAAGGCAGTGGAGCATGACGAGGAGATGCAGTCCTATGGGAGCCGGTGACCAACAATCGGTTCCTACGCCATTTGTTCCCTCAGGATCCTGGATCCCTTGCACACCATTGGTTTGGAATCCGGTTAAAGCGCCGGACATTCACTTTTCGTCCTCTCATTTTCGTAAACAACATTCCCGACACGAGAAGGCAGTGAGTAGGACTTCCCTGGCAGAGGCTATATACGCGTGGCCATGTGAGAGCATTTCGAGAGAGAGAGAGAGGACTCTCCCCACTCTTGGCCGTACCAGGGCATTTGGGGGCTCACAAATAAGATTTTAGCTTACTTTAAATCTTGATTTAGGTTTCATTGTTGATTCTCTCTTTTTGTTCTTTGGTTTCATTTGTTTCATTTCAATGGTCGTTCCGATGTATTAACCAGGGTTTGTAATTTTTGTTGTTGTTGTTGTTAATGATATTTCAAACTTCAGTTATTTTGTCCTTGTAGCCATATAGACATCCTGAATAGATTGCTTCTATATGCCATTCTATTATGAATTCTAGTATATTTGGTATGTGACTTGGCTAATCAATCATAAGGCAACATAGACTGATCATTTAAAGTTCTTAATATTAAAAATGAGAAATTACAAATCATTTTTAATGGTTCTATTCTCGTTGAAAAAGTTACATGACGATTTGAACTGAATCATTTTAGTAAATAAAATATCAGCTTTTTAAAGTGAAGGGTATTGAGCTCAAGTTTCAGTATGAAAATTAGTAAAACATCTATCTGATTAGTCTAAAACAGAACGAAACACACACCCTAGATTTTATTATTAGCCACTACTCAAATGTAATACTTATATTTGAATCTCTGTTATAGTTGATTATAAATCTTCTTTGTATGATCCTTCTTGTTATGCTAATGTGGTACAGAAATTTTGTTTGATGATCATTTGTATCATGTTCTACAATAACTAAGATTAACAGTAATAAAGTTCACTTATTTTACACCAGTATGTATTATTCATATAATATGATGATACTCATATTGCATAATGTAGGATTTTTAAAAATTTTAATAAATTCCAAACTTGGTTTCAGTATTCTTCTCTTTACAATACACTAACCAAGCTATTCTAGATATATGTTTAACATAATTAAAATCCCTTTCTATGCTAAGATGGATGATAGTTAGCAGTGGAATCCAGGACATGCGTTTCGTCCTATTTGGGACTCATCAACTGGATATAGGATGAAACGCACATCCTCGATTCCACTGCTAGCCATTATCCATATTTGCATAGAAAGCTTATGACTTAAGGTAATATCGAAGCCATCCACACAGTATGCAAATATACCAACAAGAGACTGATTAATTGTAGTCCTAAACAACAATCGTAAGGTACTAGCAAACAATACTAAGTGAATATAATTAAAATAGATTGAAATGGTTCATTGAACTTTAACGACGTGTAATAAAGAATTTACGCTTATGTCTGTTCTTTTCATGATAATCAGTGACTTTCTAGTACAATTTATATGTTTTGTTGTTATCTATGCTTGGTCACCCTATGAATATTGTACATAGACCACATGATCTGCAACTAACTACACACCCTAATTAAAAGTCAATTAAATTTTGAACTGATATTAATTCTTAGTTCGGCTGTCAATAACTTTCTTCCAACTTAACTCTACATTAGATAACGTCGCACATCGAGGTAGATAGTCGTTGACTGACATATCAGCACAACTTTCGACTGATCATACATACTACTTATATCTGTCGAGATCAGTAGTACACACCACACAGTAATCATCAAATAATAATTTTATACAAAGATTCATCAATATAAGGACGAATTGTTCGATAGAAATTAGATGTCAATTATAGAAAAGACATTAGATATGATAATTTTAATATGAATAAATCTATATGAATCAAGCGATTACCTTTGCATATAGTCAAATGAAATTCTGTCTATAATTATATACTGATCAGTTTATTTATTATTCTTTTGTTTTAAGGTTTCACACCAGCTAGAAATATCAGTTGTGCACAATGTGAAATGAAAGTAGAAGTGGATAAATCAAAAACTTTTGTAGAAACTGATATGTATCGTCGTAGATGTTTAGATGAGCCGGAACTATTCTTTAAACCATGGTGAGTTATCTATTTTTATATAACAATGATAATAAAAAACCAATGCATAGAAATGATATTATTCACTTGGTATTGTATGGCTTGTATCTTCCCATTGAAGTTTAAGACTGCGATTGGTCAGTCTCTTATTGGCATATGTGCATACTATGCTTATTGCCTCAATATTGGATTAATTCGCATGCTTTATAAACAGATGGATAGTGGCTAGCAGTGGAATCCAGGATGCGCGTTTCGTCCTGTTGTAACGTGTGACTGCAGGTTTTGATAAGCAGCGTTTATATCGATCGATTCAGTGACACGTAAACACGTAATGAACGACTTAGAGTCCCGATTGGCCCTGCTTCCCTGTTTAGCCCAGCCAGTTGAGTCCAGAACACAAGTCACAGCCTCTGAGATATGAATCATTATATTTCAGACATACTCTATTTATATACTAACCAAACAGACCACATCGTACCATAAAAATAGAAAACAACATCTGTACAATATTTGACGAGTGAAATAAATAACGGCCAATAGGAAATATTCATTTAACGTCCAAGGACATCATTAGACTTAACATGATAATGATTGGCACATTATTCCTCAGCATCCATAACACGTCCTATTTTGGACTTGTCAGCTAGATGTACCTGCATCCCAGAGTTGATGATCACTCCGAGACTCAAACCCAGGACATCAACTGTGGGATGCAGACACATCCAGCTGACGAGTCCTAAACAGTTTTAAGCGCACGTCCCGGATTCCACTGCTAGCCACTACCCATCTTTGAGATGATATTATGTTTTAGCGTTTTATACTCCATTGAAATGTATTAATTATTCATGATTTATGATTGAACTGGTTTGTTTAAAAGTTTAATTTAATGAAAAATAGTAATAAATTATCAATTTATGTGTTCGGTATACAAGCCGAATGCAAAAGTATAAATATTTACCCAGGTATTGCTTTTACACTATGTCATTTTCTATAACTGATGTACAAATCTCAGTTATCTTAATAATTAAACATATTTTATTTACAATTTGGAAGGTCTTTTCTACAGAACTCTATACATATTGGATGATATTATTGAATCTCACATTAAAAATCTAGAGATTTCGATGATGACTGATATTTCGTTGCTTGTAAATGTTTGACAAGAAAATCTAAAAACTGGATCAAACATTATGGTTTAGAGCATGAACGAAACTTTTTTAGACAACCACTGAAAAGTAAAAAGCATTGGATGGTAGTGTATCCGTGACCTCACCGTACACTGAGTTCAGGTCTTTCAGGTCCCCAAAGTCCCCGTTCATTGGTTTATACTTATAATTTTATTGAATTCATAATATCGCCTAACTTTGAGTGTTGTAGGTAAATAACCACTACACCCCAAATATGGTTTTGCATGTTGGTCACAGCTTCTTGCTAAGTCTTCAAGAATTAACTCGCGAAACTATTGATTAATAGACAAGTGATGCATTTGATGGGTCTGCAGTATGTTCAGTGCTGTTTGGTTTTCAATGCTTTTCTATCTAAGAACAATCAGTGATACTATCTATGAAATGACTTCGTAATTTGGAAGTTACGCGCTTTCCTTGGAACCTGATACTTCTGAATTCGAATCACATTATGATCATATATGAATCTCACTTACAGGTATAGAACTAACTGTGTACTGCATCTAAATACCCACTGGTTTTCAGGAGAATATCAGTTGGATTCAATTTTCTCAATCTACAAAATAAAATCATTCTTAATCAGTTAGTTCTCAGTAGTTTGTAGGTTATCAGTATTATCAGTTAGAAAAAAACATTGATTTCATCATCATTAGAACATGACTACTTATCTAATTAATTACTGTTGTTATTCTTTTCTCTACATTTTCCTACCAGTATTGTGAATGATAAGAATACACCACGTGGATGTGCTAAACTTACCACCTACTTAAAAGAACCCGTTGGTAAAGGTCGAATTAAAGGTAAGTATTAAACAATTTAATCTAAAAGTTGTTTACTATGTAATTTTCATCATAACTGTAATTATATTATTTCACAGTATGCAGAAATAAAAACTCAAAAGCTTAACCGATCAGTTTCTTCTTACGAATTGTTTCAATTAAGAGTTATGTCATAAACTGTAGTACATTTGATATGCATCTCAAATGTACATATCACATCATAGACTAATTTATTGCATTTCTGAATGTTGAAAACTCTTACTGTTACATCATCTACTTAAGTGAAAAGTAATGGATTCGAGTCTTAGTGTAAATATTACTGAGAGGTAGGTTTATCCAAATGAAAAGTTTCAACTTTGACATTAATAACATAAGTTTTTGACTTCACTACTAGACATATATACCAGATATATTGATGATTACAAATCCTATGCATAAATATAACCAGGAAAATAATCCCAATAAGAAAAGTTTAATAAAAACCCTAATTGAATTAGTATGAGTTTTATTACAGAAAATAAATAGTAACATTGTGATGGTTCATTATAATCTCAACTATTTAATTATGTAGCATCTAATTCATAAAGTTTAATATGATTTTTATTGAATATTTTAAGTTACCTTTTGTTCTTACCCAGTACCATTCACTTTAAACTGCAATGAATTGCAGCTATAGATTCCAGATAGGCATTGACTTATTCAATGGTTATGAAGATATTAAATATCGGATTTGTTTAACACAAATTATACATCTTAGTTAACTTTAGTTTATATCTTATATACCGGAAGTATAACAATATCCAAGTATATCGATAGTAAACAAAGAAGGATTTTAAACCTTAATCTTTTCTCTAATAAATATATCTTATGTGAGCAAAAGTGGATAGTGGCTAGCAGTGGAATTCAGGACGCGTGCTTCGTCTTATTTGGGACTCGTTAGCTGGATGTATCTGTGAGTTGATGTTTATTCTGGGACTCGAACCCAGTACCTTTTGCTTCAAACGCCATCGCGTTACCCACTTAACTACTGAGTCCTTATGGCCACTTTCTTGTACAATCAGGTGAAGATTAAATTCACTTAGTATTGTTTACTTGGATCTTCCCACTGGTGTTTAGGACTGCACTTGACCAGTCTCTTATTGGCATATGTGCATACTGTGAGTATTGCCTTAACTCAAAAGCTTTTTAAGCAAAGATGGATATTGGCTAGCAGTGGAATCCAGGAATATTCAAGGAAATAATATCAAGTGAATTACATCTTATGGGAATTATGAAAATTTATAATCAATATAATATGATGATTTCGGCAATAGCAATAGTGATCAAGTTCAAGTATAAACAACTGTGAATTTAACCAAACATGATATACTAATCTCCCAGATTTAATGACCTGATATATAAATGTTCATTAGCTCACACAGAATACTTATCTTCAAGCCTTAATCAAAACAGGGAAAAAACGTCAATAAATCTTCTGTATCCTGACTCTGAAATCTAGCTTAATTCTATACATAAACCACAGTCAGACTATCATTGATCACTTCATGATTTTAATTTATCAATGCGGCAAATGGAATTTTATAACTACGAGAAGATTAAAATCTTTAATTATTTAATACATTCACATTAAAAGTGTAAACACTGATCTCCTTAAACAATGAATTCCATAGTTTGTCATTCTCACCTATTCGTTCCAGTTTAAAAATACACTTTCTAACAACAATAAAAATATCAGCTCTTCTAAGGATTATAAAAGTTCTGTTCCATTTCATTTATTACATAAGTAAAAATGTAATTCTACCAAGATAACTTATTGGACAAACATTTAGATTTAGTGGAAGGGGTGTTAGGAAGAATATCTTAAATGAAGTATAACAATCAGCTCATTGATAAATTACTTCAAAATGTTCCTTAGGTTTTAGTGAGAATTATGATTGATGAAGTTTAAACGAATTTTCAACAATGGTATCCCATGACTACTCTATTATATCACGAATTGAACATTGGACGCCAACTCGGTTATCTTAATAGTTAATCGTTTTCCGTGAAACTTTTAGGTTTTGGATTTGATTTCCGGTACTTCATAGATGTTCTATTGAGACGTGGGATATTAGAACAGAACGGTTGTCCACTGCTCCCGGGTATTCATTAGTATCACAACTAAGACCAACCTGTTGTGAATACTACTTATAAAACTCCAACTCATTAAAAATTACTATTTGTAAGTAACATAACTGGTGTAACGGAATTCTCAGGCCCAAATTGGAAGTGATCCACATCAATGTGGAAATACTTTAATCAATACCTATACTCATGTGTTTAAACAATTTTCGACTGTAAATGACCAACAGAATATAGTTCAGTATTTTCCCTTAGTTTCCGCATTTCATTTGTTAATAATCATTGTCCTTAAAAATCAATTGATCAATCGTAATAATACCAATACTCTGTCATTATTATTATAGAAGTCACATTGATGAAACGTTTCTGTGCTACCGAAGGTGCTGAGCCCGAAGAAATTAAATGTGTTGATCATCCTTCAGAAGGCGGCAATTCAGAATTATGTATTTGTGGTACGGATAATTGTAATTCTGCTCCACAATTATTGAAATTGTCATTATCATCACCTATTTTTTCTCTCACAATATCAACCATTTACATGATATTTATGAAAATCAACTAATTAATATCATTATTAGTCAACTTTGTAAGTAGTATATACATATTGTTGAGAAACAGAGATATTTTTAGTCAGATGTGTTAACCGATGGGGCGAAATGCATCACGTTAGTTTACTATGTAAATGTGTGAAAACACATGCAGACGTACACAAACACCTATATAAGTGCACGCCTACAAAATTGTGCATTTCCCTAATTGGTAGCCATAATTCATTTGTCATTCTATTCGCCTTTTTAAACTTACATACAATTAGGATGGTTATTACTACTATTATTGTCAATAATATTGTATGTTGTGATGATTGCTTTCTATCGTGTTGTCCATTAGTATCATATACATATAAGTACAATTTAGTTTTTACATAAATTCTACTGTTGTCATTATTAATTATAAATGTACAACAGCATTATATAATATATATATAGTAATATTTACCATACATTCTTTATCAGTAATGCTTGTTGACTTTTAGTAAATGGGGTTTTCCAACTACTTTTAGGTATATTTGAAGGTGAGCTTGATATTAGATTGATGAAACATCATTTAGATATTTCTAACATAATAATGCATAGGGGTACATATTGTCGATCTGAAATAGTTGTCACGTCGATCCACTACCTGGTCGGTAGAATCCAACCAATTCTTGAAAGATTAGACAAACATGAAATCCGCCATCACTCAGTTATAAATATCTCAGGAGTGTAAGAGACTAGTCCTAGTCTAAATAGTTTAGTGATAACGTCCCAGGATATAAAACAGTATATCGCTTGAACACCACAAGGACTATTAGTTCTTTCCAGTTTCCAGGCACATCCTGAAAACAAGGTCAAGTAGGGTTTCCTACTAACTACCTCCAACTACCTAACAAAAACCATTTTCTAACCGAAGATAGAAGGTTTCTTCTCTATTATTGAGTTTCATTATTATCATTGGCTTTATTCAATATTATATTTCTGATGCAACACAATTTTCAGTAAAGTATGTCAACAAGTTTCATTTCCTTATTTCTTGATCGATTCTGACAATATATACTGAATGGTCACCAGTTAGATGTTAGCAGATCAGTAATCGATATCTGAATAATGTTCATTCTTTTCAACGGATATTACCAGCCATTACGATGTCTCTGATTGTACTATTTTGTAACCTGTACAGCGAAAGGTCGTGAACTTCTTATAAACGCGCCTGAATAGGTCATACGCGTAATAGACATAATGATGCATTAATGCAAACAAAAGCAGATAACTTGTTGGAATATTCAGATGGCAGGAACAGGTGGCCCATACATTCAAGTAGGCTGACGTGGTAGGCGTTAATATTGATTAACCGTCAGTCTATCTTGTTATGTCCTAGTGAAGATTAAATTATGGGTAACTTCCGAGGACCATTAATGGACTAATATTCCAGAAATATTCTTATTGTATAATTATTCAGTAATTAGATTAGGTATATTTATATTCCTCTTATTATAAGTTTCATTTTGACCTATAATTTATTTCTGTACGATTTACTGTTCTTAAGCTATGTTCAGTTTACTGACTACTGTCTCCCACGTTCACAGCCACTTTTTGACTTTATGGTGTACAAATGTTATTTCCTATTTTATGATGCGTTGTGGTCTCTTTGTTTGATATATAAACATAGTATGTTTGAAATATTTAATTCGCATAGTGGAAGCTGGTATTGGTGTTCTGGACTCAAGTGGACGGGCTGGCGGACCTAGGACCAATAAGGACGCTAGGCTGCCCATACCGATCGAACGTCATTGGTTTGGCAAAGTGCTAAGATTGTACAAGTCGTATTTTGATTAGTGGATAAATCGCGTGATAAACGCCGGACATAAAGTCATAACATATCTAGTCATATTAAATACAAAATGTTCCATAATTCTTCTTAGATAACTCATAACAGTAGCTTAAAAACACTAACAACTCGGACATAACTTAGACTCCCGCTCCCAGGTAGCCAAGATCGCTACTAATTCAGTTTCATTTCCAGGCACTTTCTTACGGTTGACTAACTGATTGAGTACCAGTATCAATGATTCTCTAAAAACATTTATTTTGATTTGTTCCTTTTCAAAAATTTAATTCCATCTATCTACATTCTAAGGCCTTCCCTGACATACTTTAATCTAGTGATTTGAAAACAATCTGTAATCTTGACGTTAAAAAAGTGAGTTCCCATTTTATGCTAAAGCCTATTAATACGTAAACCTTCATCACCATTAAGCATAACATCAGATTAGATTAAATGTTGAATAAGTTATTCATAAAAACGTATATTAATTAAAGCAAACATCCCGATAATCCTTAAGATTGGAACATAAGAAGAAAAACTCATGATAAGTTCAAAATATGCGGGAAACCTTTAAGAAAAAAAATCCGGGGAAATAATATGTAACATTAATGTAATTTAATCAAAGCTATCAATAAGTCAATAGTTCTCTTTTCAAAGATCATTTTGTCAATGTCATTCTCCACAAACACACACACAGAGAAAAGTCAGAAAATTATTATCACAAAAGAATTACAACCAACAACAAAAGTAGAACATACAAATACATTATTCTCAACGTATCTAATTAATAAGCGAAACAAAACAAAACAAAGCCTGAATACAACATCACAATTCAAAATACAAATTACATTAGTTTCAGGATAAGGGGTGGGCAGGGTAAAAGTAAGCTGATGGATTCTCCTCAGTAGTAGTAAAAAGAAATCAACAAAATTCACCACTACTCACAATCATAAAAACAAGTACCATTTTTGGCATATTTTAAGCAACATAAAACTTATTGCCGTTGTCCACAGTGAACAGAAAACAAAAAGAAAGGGAGAGAGAGGGGGAAGGAGATGGAGAACAAGGCGTAGAAGGAGAGAAAGGATGAATGAATCCCTATTGCTTATAGTTATGGTGATGATCTTTTCTTAACAAGGGTTGAGCTGGATATGCGCTACCGTGTGCATAAACGCAAAATAACACTACTTGATGTAATTCAAAGAATCAAAATAGGTTGTGTTTTTTATTATTCATCTAAAATGATAGGATCATATTGAATTAATGAAGAAAGAAAGCAAATGAAGCAAAAAGTAACAAACCGTGAAACCAATGTGGTGATGATGACAAACTGAGAACAGTAACAAAGAAAATACAAACACCGCGTGTGTATGCTCATAACTTGGCCCCGTCTAGCTACTTTCTTTTCCTACATAAAATCTATACCTACCTTCATATGTAGTATGGTTTATATTGTTTGTGAATAGTAGTCATACACATACAAACACAGACATGATGCATTACCCTAATATATAAGCCAGAAGTTGTTGAAATATTTCAAGGAAGCACTAGTCATAACACACTTCAAAGGAATTCGCAAGAATAAATACCAGATTGAGATTGATGTAAATATAAATGGGTATTTTTTTTAAAAAAAGTTGTACTCCAACAACAAGAGTACATAAGAAAAGAGTAAGGCATTCAACGAATTTCATGCTGCAAATACTAGGAGTGTTTGTTTTGAATAAACAAAACCAAAGTAAGGGATTAAACTAGACCAATAATCTAAGCATCAACCCATATCGATAGTGTTCATATTATCATCAATAATATCAATGTAGTAAACTGGATACTTCTTTATGAATATGACATAGATATTCTGTGTATGAAATCGAATTACCACTGCATCGATCCTCGACCATGAAACGTCGAAACCATAGTTCGCTTTTATCTCCAGGACGTACAACCAATAACTACAACAAACAGTACACCAAGAAGAATAGAGAAAAGAGATATATACCATTTAGAAAAAAACAGAAAATCATACATTTGACATTTAATAATGCATCATACAATTTTGGTAGAGAGATACGATATAGTTAAATGAAATTGTACTGCCTAACCAATGACAATACAAAAGGTAACGATGGCTATTAGTTCTCATGTGAATTCCTAACGGCAATACCGCACAGTATTGTAGTAATACTGAATTTAGAGCAGAAAATTACTCCGAATCACAAAACACAATGTTTTGATTTAATAGTCCATATCATAGACTCAACTTAAACAACCGTTGAAAAATATCTGTTTTATATTTTAACATGTGACCCCCTCAGTATTGTCCATCCCCATGACAATACATAAGACAGAACCCACGACTTTCAGGTTCAACAGTGTGTTTGACCATCAGATTACAAGGTTACCATCTAATAACATATGTTTAACTTCAAATCAATTAGCAGCATTTCTTCCTGATTTTCAATGGTTGTGATTTAACTAAGGTCAAGTTCATGTATCATAACAATAACAAAATTTAAACATTCACAAAACCCTCACATTCGCGCGTGAGATCGAAGAGCCTAGAATCAAATCCCGTGTACAGGATCGTGTATGAGCACTGTTGAGGAGTTCCATGCTAGGACGAAATGGACTTCTAGTACTTTCGATTCATGATCTCAATGAAAAAAAGCATTTTGTTGAACTGTGCAGTAAAAATGATGTGAAATGAAAGTAGACTAATATGAATACACGGTGAATACTTCTTGAATATAATGTCAATTATCAAAAACATATTTTATGAGCAATCTTACTATTTTCCCTTTCTAAAAAAAAGAACTCCCTAATCAATACACTACAAATAACAGTCTTTTATTGTTGTACAAATAGCTAAAGGGGAGAAAAGGCATCATTTAAGCTATTTTTTAAATGATTGCCTCAGAGAATCATCTCATCAACCATTTGGAATATTTGCAAACCAAGAAGACTTCATTTTAATATTTGCTATTCTAAGCGCTTCAAGATCATCTTTAGTATTATTAATATAATATAATTTAATTGGATATATCTTTATCAAGTTTATGTAGTTAAGACTTTCACAACTATATTCATTCGTAAAAAGGTTGTATGATCCAAATTCAAAGGCTTAAAATTAGATTAAGTGAAGTAGAAGGTTAGAATATGTGAATTGATATGGTAGTGTCAGTTATTATTTTAAGCCCATATATCTTATTCTGGATTTCGGACAGACCAATCTATTCATTCTACTTGAGTCATATGTTGTCCTTGTTAGTTATTCGCTTACCAGTCTTCATTGTTTTTATATGAGCGTATATGTGTGTACAGTTCTTATCCCATGTCTCATCACATGTCTGTAGCTTATTTTTGTCTGCCTATAAATATTGGCTAACGCCTGACTAAAAATGAGTTGGCTTACCAGCCATCTCCACTCTGCATCGCTTCTCTTCCTGCTATTCCATTCACCTTATATACAAAATATATGTATTCAAAATCCCATTCTCGTTGTTTGACTTATTTAATTCCGTTATTGGCTAACGTGATTAAAGTCGACGATGATATACGAGAATAGGCGATAGCAAACATCCATACGATCTAGATAAGAGTCAGATCAACGGGCTACTAAAATATTGATTGAAAAAGTTGGAGTATTTTTAATCTAAAAATCATCGACACTTAGAAACGAACATGATGGTTCCACATGTAAACTGATGTTTCAGTTAGTTAGTGAATATCTACCATACAAATAACTACCTATTAAAATAGTCATTTTATTAACCAAATTAATAAATACACGTATATAAAATTGTTTGATATTCAATGACAAAGTTAAATTTCATATTAGAAAATCTAAGTCTCTAAAACATGAACACCTCATATTTTCCCATAGATTTCCATCGCCAGTGGTAGAGCCTTTGAAATACTAAGCTAACACATTAAGAACTATTCACAAGAAAGTTTTTTGTGACCAGTTTCAAGCAATTACCCTTCACGTAATGCAGTCATGCTCCCAGGTTTTTAAACGTACTGTGTATACAATTACCTTTCTAGAAAACAGAGAAGTAACAATCATCCATATACCTTAAAAACATTTAAGTTCATCATATTCGTGACTAACACATGGAAAATTAAGTTCAAAACGTAACAAGTGAAATTCAGGAAAGGAAAATTAAGAATGATACTTAAGATTTACAAGATAAAGAAATAATAAGTTCAGCTTCATCATTACGACTTCTTTACGCCATGTCATCTAGTATTTTTAAATGTATACACCACGCCTATCCTGTTATCTTTATAACCAGATAATCTTCATTTACTCAATAATATTGTTGCTTGACTGAATTCACGAACATCATCTGTCCATAACACTATGAAGAGGCAGCTGATTAGCCTAACTACCATATTAAAGAATTTTATAGATGATATAAAGTATTGAATATCTTGAAAATGGGAAATATTAACCTGCATTAACACTTATAAATTAATATGATCATTGACTATAGTTTGAGTACTCAACTGAACAGAATATATACATTCACAATGGACGTCATTTATTTGTTCAAACAAGAATTAGACATACAGAAAGTTCCCACTTACCCGAGAATAATGCCAACGATTTTTACGAACTTTTTTCAGCAATGTACACAGATTACGTGAGATTTCGTTATCAAAATTACACAAGTCATAGATCTAAATTATAGGATTATAAAAACAGCATAACGTAATGTAAGTATAAATATTATATTACTTATGAATGAATAAGTAGTTTAAAACATTAGGATATTTAATAGGATTTTTAAACTCAATAGTAGTGAAGAGCTTCTCTAAGTGACCCAGCATCATTTATTAGAAAACCACAGTTCCATAAGACATATGATCAAGTTTTGTTTTTTTTAAACCGTTTATTTGAATGTTTACTATAAAAAGTTGATTCTTCAAGTCCCGTGGGCACAGAACATGATAAAGAGAGTAGACAGATATAAATTTCGACTGAACAACTGTTATAGAATAGGAGGATTTCTAGGTCTTCTTTCTTTTTTTAATGTTTAGATTACTAAATTATGAATAGAGTACTGATTGATTGATAGTGTGCAATGATTAAAACGTTTTTTGGATGGAAACTGTTTATGACAGCAAATTTTTGACTCAAAGTTCAATTTAACAGCCACACTACATTCACAAATAAGTGAAGAATCTCGTATATAAAACAGGATTTTTACCCAACGATTGTAAGAAGTGGTAAATAAAGAATGTGATAGAACAAGTCAGCAATTATAGAACTTATCGAGGAGGATAAGGGATTAAAAGGTTATCAATAAATGAAACGATTGCAACAACAAGGTAGTGGACTCTTAGACCAAGAAACTTAGTACTTCTCGCTACTTTTTCAGTTTTGCCCAGTTTATCCAACAAAAATCCGATTGGGAAATCGATATTTTAACCTTTAACTCTTACAAAAGTCGAGATTATTATAATCAAGGTGGATTAAATGGCAACGAACAGCATCGACAAGTTAACTTTAGGGGGTACGCATTAGAGGTTTTAGGATATTTGGGACAGCTTGTCAATGAGTCATAAGAAATGTGCAGAACCTGGCACATGAATATATCAGTTCAAGCTTCCATACCACATCAGTACAACGAGAACAAATTATCAAGACAAATCCCAGAATAGTAGAAGAGAAAGGAAAATAGAGCAATCCAAGTAACAACAGGATTGGAAGAACGATTAAGAGTGTAAAGGACAACTCAAAGAGGATATGCAAATGGTGCATTTAATGAGTGACTTCCATATTTTACAAAGGCACCGTGTGATTTTGCACAAAGTAAGTTGGTTTGCCGTACCTGAATATTCGTCCAGTATAATAGGTCTATATAAATGGGTCCATACGGTTAAGATCAATAATCAACGACTCTATGGACTGATGTTTTATTTAGGCCACGCTAAGCATCATTTTAACCTACTTCTACACTACCAGACATTGTATGTCGACGTAGGCAGTAACTGCGCACACATGATAAGTGGTCATACTCACCTCAGATAATAAAGATTAAAAACGTTATTAGTGCTGTCTTGAAGCCGTCGCCAATCAGAGTCCCATTTTTCATTTTTGCCTAATTCGACGTCTACTATGTCCTCTATAAACTAGTGTCCCCAATCACATACCTGACCAGTACTATTGACCTTGAGTCGACGAGGCTAAGTTCCGAATCGTCCACTATTCGCAAGCTTTTCTCTATGCTCTAACATGAGTTCAAAAGTCAGCAAACAGCTTCTACTACATCTACATTTCAAACAGACAGTTTATGTACAGACACACTGGACAGCACCACACCGTAAAATGAAAAATAATAATGATAATTAAACGAACCAAAAGTGGCTCTGAATAGGAGAAGCTGTAAGTAATACACACTAGTAACAAATTAGAAATGGTAATTCGTATAACAGTAGTTAATGGGTTAACCGAAAGCTCATGATAAATGGAATACATAGACATAGTAATATGGTTGCTAAGTAATTATAAAACCAAATTATAGTTGACAATAATTCGAAAAACCAGTTCAAACTTCAACAATACTTGTTCCGTTATAAAAACTAATCTCAGCACTGCTCACTCAGATGTTCCGAAAAAACACGAGCGACGCGCCAATAACACCTAAGATCAAAACCCCGCATCGTACGCACGTCTCCCACTTTTATGGACTATGTTTTACGGTGACAGAGAAATACAGAGTGGGTCTCTGCACTGTATACTCTCTCTTTAGTTGGCAGACGGACATCTCGCCTGTGCCACAAGTGACATAAGGCTAACTGAGATTCCTAAATCGGTGCCAAGATTTTGTTAGACACAACTACCCCAAGGGAGATGAAACTTCCAAGATAAATTAAATGGACAGAGCATCCAATCACTTGATTCTCTATCAAGTTCAAGCGATAACTAAGAACAACTGTTAAACAATATTTTGTACTTGAAGGAGAGAAACGCATTCTACATATGCTTGTATTTCGTCAATGTTTTACGAATGTAATCCCCATATTCTAAATGAACCTTCTAGTAACAAATCACTCTCTGAGAAGTTAAATTAAGTGGAATTTCTAGGACATCTAATATAAAATGAAGTAAAAAAATGGGGGATAGTGAGCCTGTAAACTGAACGTATTTTTCTAAGTAGGATTTTAAAATGAAAATAAACCATGTTAAACATAAAAATTCTTAGAAAATATCTTTAATTGTAATATCTGATTTTGTCTTACTTTTTCTGATTCAAAATGTTCAGGATTTTGAACATTGAATACTGCTTGAATCCATTCTGACGAAATATTTGGACCAATCCACATGATAAGATAAATCCCATTATCCAATAAATAAGCTGCATCCATTTGTAAACGATCATATGAACAGCGTATAGCAGCTGGAGGATAATGGATATCACCTTCGAAATTCAGTGAAAGATCATGCTAAAATAAGTATTTTTTAAAGAAAGAATGAGGTTGAAATTGAGATAACGCTCATTTGCTAAAGATTACAGGGCAAAACATACTAATACTATCGAGAAAACCGTTTACCAACCTTAAACTCATTTTTATGATACAAAGATTAGAGATATTCGATTAACGAATTAAACAGATGACAATTATAAGTCTGACTAGTTCCAAAGGTTCCAAGCCTCTGCTAATTCATAATTTAAGGAATTATATATAAACATATACATATAAATTTACGGAAAACTAAAAACGTTAGGTTAAACTTATGTGTTGTCCAATAGAAGTCTAAATGCAACTCATTTGATAAGTACAGGATTATGTAAACGCATTTGAGTTATGCTGTTGGTGTGTGATAATGGGAAGCCTGACGATACTACCCTGAGCACAACTCCCACCCCACCGAAAGCTGAAGCAAGTGGAAAGAATTTTGAACATCGGACACTAGCATTAGCTACTAGTAAAAAATGGGTAAAAAGATGAGCTTTGGGTGCGTGTGTGTGAATGTAGCCTAAAACCGCCGTAACTGTGGAATATTGGAGTCCGATAAAAAATATTCAGTTTTCATAGTATTTCATAGCCCTAAAAGCATAGATTCATGTACATGGCTTTGAGCAACACTTTAAATGTAAGGGTTAGTAGTGTGGTGTGTGCTACTTATATTGACATAAGTAGTATATGATGTTGGTCGTGAACAGAAGGTCTGGAAGCAGAGACAAGAGGATCGAACAGTAAAGAATCGAAACAGAATGCAATTTGTATGAAAATGCAAGAACAATGAAGTCTGAGTGATTTTGAGACAATTGATGGACATTTTGCAAATTAAGCATTTTATATATGATTGTTAGATTTTATTAACAAGTCCTGTAATTTGTGTTAAATACATTCAAATGGCCCCACCCGTGTTCTTGTTCACTACAGTAGTACTACCCGGTTGTCCAAACCAAAGTAGGTGAGGTGGAGCTGGAACCTGAGACGTAGTGGCTGAAAGTTGAGTCCCTTAATAAATGAATCCCCGCTCCGAATATATATATATATATATATATATATATATATATATATATATATATATATATATATAAAGAGAAGTAATTATCAGAGTAAATTCTGATCAAATATACAATAACATACAATAGGATACAAATGAGGATAAATATAACAATTGGATTGTTTAACGTCCATTTGATTGACCAAAAACATTTGCCAACAACGATCATCAATTGTGATACCGTCAGCTGGGTTAAAAACAAAAAAGGTATTAATAATAATAGTAATAACAGTAAAAATAGTAATAATAGTAATAATAATAATAATAATAATATTAAAAGTTTATGTATTCAGCAGAATTAATAACTTTGAAAGTAACATGACAGCCACGAGACCTTAAAGTAGTGAGTTTGATTCCGTGTGTAGTTATGAGATGTTACACCGTGTAACATTTTCAAACTGAACTCAACGAGTTCTTTTCGCAGTTGTTACACCTTACCTTGTAAAATATTATCTATACATACATATATACATTATCGAATTCCAAACTGTCAATCACTTGTGGTTATGATGATGATGATAACTGAGACTAAAGAGAGTATAACATTTTCAGCAAATTTACCTCACAGTTACAAGTCCTCTCACTTATGAATTATCTCGAAATACGGACACCACCAAGTTTCAGACAGTAGTAATAATAACAGTAACAGTAATTCATACTTTACAGACTAGTCAATCAGATTTAAGACAGCAACTATGAGATTTTTGCTCGGCCTTCAAAATGTGATAATGGATAGTTTGTATTTTTACTGAGTAAAGTAAGAAGTGTGCAAAACCTACCAAATTGATATAAACATGATGGTCAATGAATAAGAAAGACGAACTCCGGCAAGTTTTTTTTCTTCGTTCCACGATAAGAAAATAATACAAAACAAATAGGATTCTAATTGTAAATAAGCATTTTAACATGATTTATAAGTTTTTATAAATAATTTAAAGATTATTATCAGAAGTTAGACATTAACACCGTTGGACGCCGGCTCAGTGGTCTAGCGCTCACGCGCAAGACTGAGAGGTCCTGGGTTTAAATCTCGCGGGGGGGTGGGATCGTGAATGCGCGCTGCTGAGGAGTCCCATACTAGGAGTCACTACTACAAACTTTTAATCTTAAATCTCAATCCAAATGCAAACATCTAACCCAAACAAATTTAACTTTAAACCTTAGTCTGAATTAAACTTCAAAAGTCCTAACGCTAATCGTTTTGAAATTTTTATGTAGAAAGTTATTCATTCAGATTATATGTGATTTGATTAGCTAAAAGGTGATTTCATTTTCTTAAAGTCATTTAGGATGCTGAAGGACGTCAGGAAATAAGCATACCTTCGACATAATAGTAATAATAATAATAATAATAATAATAATAATAATAATAATTAATCAATTAATTAACAAAACACGACAAACCAGGACTAAAAGCTTCAGTTTTCATAAGACATTGTATGTACAAAGGAAATACTTTCATATTTTGTGGTAATACTAATTCACTAGGATTCGAATTTACATCATTCGGACCGCAAGCACAATGACGACGATAAGCAGCCAATGTGTTAGCAGCTCTTGTCGTTAAATCATCCATTACTTGTGAATGTGTACGGTTGAGTAGAGAACGCATTGAATATTTACTCAACCAATTCATATGTGCATCTAATTCGACAAGACGAAATACATCAGGTATCATACTTGTCACTGGAATTGACAGATTATGAATACGTAGCCTTCGTTGTCCAGATATTGAAGTGTAAAGACATGCAACCTGTTTGAAATGTAGATATAAGAAACTTTAAATTTATTTAGAATCATTAAAAAAATTAATATGTTACTTTCGTTTGACTAATCCCATTACTACCTACAGCATAAAATTTGAGAAATTTTTTAGTATTTCTCACTTTCAAAAAATCAGACGTAGTAACAAAACGCGTTGTGTTTTGTTGTGTCCGATTCTGAGACTATTGATATATAACCTTGCTATTTGCGAGCTCAATTGACTACTTGAAAGAGAAAACTGAGTAAAAAAGAAACTTTGTATCACCCGACCGAAGAGAGAAGTAGGTGTACACCTATATATATGTCTTGATAGTTGCTTTTCTCCCTATTGATATGGTGTGGGAATTTGAATCGACTCGTCTATGTCCCAGGTTTAATGTTGCTTATGACTGACCATCTTAAATTATACACTACTAAGTTCGTCAAAGTATTCTCCCGGAATAAATTCTACGACAAAATTCCTAATGATAAGAACTTACTTGAATGAATACGTGTTCACCTTCTTGAAGTTTATCATCATGACGTAATTCTGCAGTGATTGCCATATCTGAACTAACACTAGCCAACTCAACATCAGTTGTATTAGGTAGGTAACAATTACCAAAGAATTCAACAGGTCTAATACCAGTACTTGTTCGAACACGCATAACAGCGTTGAAAGCTTGTAGGTTGGTCAAAGTACGTTGAAGATCGGCTATAAACTGATGACCTTGTAAATCAGCCTGTAAGTATTAGTAATAAGAAGTTTTCATCGTTTTTATCATCTACATTATAAAACAATAATTTAATAACAATGAAAAAGATAAAATTAAATTTCCGAGAATACAAGACAGTATATTTTGACAAAATTGTGTAAGCTGGGTTAGTGAACGGGTGCCCAAACTGAAGCAGGTTTTCTTAAGGAGCCGCTCCTCTAACCTTTGAACCAAGAGTTTTAATCCACAAAACACTGGAGCAACGTCAAAACATCCCGCCCCATGGTATCCGGTGACCAAAATAAGTACAAATACTCCTTGTCCCCTTAGGATCCTAAAGCTTGGTTTGGAATTAGATTTTTTACCCCCGTCAAACCGATTTAAACGCCAGATGTTCGCTTTCAGTTTCCAAGCTTTCGTAAAAAACATGGCTGCTGTTTAAAGTTAGTAACTAGAACTTTCCTGACATATAGTATAAACACACAAACGTGTGAGAGCATTGTGAGAGGGAGGATGAACTCTTCCCACTCTGGGTTGCATTATGAAGCTTCAATCATGAATAGAATCAGTCCCTAGCAACATTGAGCAAACAAACAATGAATGAATACTTTCAGACATTGTCATATTTCTACCTATATGCTTAATTAAGGTATGATTCGACAAGCTAACATTCAAAATTATGAAAGTCATCTGAGGCACATTAAGATACAAATTTTTGTGTAGAATTTCAGAACACTAATGATGAACTAAACAATCTCATTTTAGTTATTGAATACATAAAAGAAAGAAGTTTATAATAGTGAAGTGACGGAACAGATCAACAATCGAATCGTTTGAAGTATAATAATATCAACACAGTAAATCTGGAGACGATGTTATGAAGCCTAAGATATGATTAAAATTTGAAAAGGATCTCGGTTTACCGACGTCGCCAAAGAATACAATGACTGAATACAGAGAATCCTCGGCTCGGAGAGGCCAACTTTCACAACCATAGAGCAGAAATTCTTTCATAGATATGTTGTAGACCTGACCCTTTACAGCCAGATTAACATTACCAAAGATGACTTAGATTGCCACAAGTTGCTAGGGTTTCCACAACACGTAGTCAGGATAATGATCATATATTTAAAAGGCTAAGTATGATAACTTCCTCCTTGTATCAGTGTCGTGTCGATTAACCGAATTCTGATTTATGACGACAGGGTGCACATTGAATATATTAGTACAGACACCTAATACAATAATCAGACATAATTTAAAGCAATTAGTCAGACATAACTACAAACAACAACTCGGTTAACAATCGACATCCAAACTTTGTGAAAAGGTAGAGCATCGGTCTTTATAAGTGACTATACTAACTCGACAAAGACATCATTATAAAAACTATCAAGTAGATATCTAGTGGGTGACCCAAAATACAAGAAAGAAAAAACGATGAAATGCATCAGGAGTGTACAATGAACAGAATACACTAATAAGCGAAAAAGGAACTATATGACGTTGATAGATTACTAATAGTGCACGATAGAAAGGGGTATAAAACTGTAACGATTCGAAACTCATAACTTCAATAGTTGAAACTCATGCGTTTTAACCATTATTAGGTTACCTGTTAGTCAATTCAACGCCTTATTAGTTAATTTTCGATAATGGAATTGTAAACACACTAATATTAGTTAAGTACACAAGACAACAATTTTTTTCAGAAAAATTTAACTACATACCACACTAAAATATTTTTACTTACCTGGAAACAGTTATATTTGAATAAATGACCAGATGTCAATCTGGGCACTTCGGCTAAAGAAGCAATATCAACAAATGAATTAGGGAAAAGAAAAAGATCTACACTGCAACCAACTTCTACGCATGTTTGACCAAGTCCAACATAAAAATCATTATCTGGAAGAAGTAAAGTCTGTAAAAATAAATGAATAAATAAGGGGTGAATAAAAGAAATCTTGAACAGCTGTTAATATAGAAAAATTATTATTATTATTATTATTATTATTATTATTATTATTATTATTATTATTACTAACTTGTTACCGGGTATAACCACACTCTAAGTATGAGAAATCTAGTGATAGTATATCCTAGTTGCTCAAACAGAAATAGATAGGGTGGAATTCGAACCTGTAGCTTGGTGACTGAAATTAGAACAAATTAATTATCGAACCACCCTCTTTGTAGGTAAATGGAGACAGTTAACCACATTGATTAAGGCTGCTTTAATGGTAGTCTAGCGTGAATTGACCCGTGAATTCAACTTTAAAAATAAATTTTTGCTTAAAAATCCAACTGGTACTATCTTAAATCTGATGGATTTATCCACAAATCATAATCTCACCCTGGTACATTTATATCAAGTCCTAAGCTCTTAATGAATGAAAGTGTAGGTGGAGTAAAGTCCTAAGTCAAACAGGGGTACGCTGATTGGTCCACTTCCGACCAATCAGTGCTGGACAAAGACTAAGCTGCTAGACGGTACTTATGTAAAAACTCTATATTTAACTGCATTACTTACTCTGTTAGGGATGCTACCCCTAACTCAAAGTCTGAAAAGTCGAAAAAATGAAAATTTCGCAAATGCGATAAAAATTATCTCAGTGGTTTAGTTATAGTATTCCGACACCAGACAATCGGTTTTAAGCGTTATTTAAGCCATAACGCTTCAGACTGGGCTATTTCGTTTACTACCCTACGTATGTGTTGTATGCAGTACAAGTTATATGGCTATGTAGAGCTGAAGGTCTCATACGAGGCTGGAGGTTCGCCATTGGTATTGTGGATGGTTCAGCATTGCTTTGGCAAGTTTTGCTGGCTGTTCATGCACAAAATTGGTTTGCTGGTTAACCGATTTCATTCATACTGGTGGTTGCTTTTCAGTGTTCTCGAGGGCCATTGTCATTGGGACATTGTAAGGCATGTCGCCTTTGCTAACATTAATGAGCTTGACGGTCGTGTTAGCGGAATAGGTCAGCTTTGGCCTGTTCGTGCTGTGCATAATTGATTCACGCGATCATTGATCGGAATAACCATACATGTGATGTGAATGTGTATATGAATGGTCCACCAGGGTGCTTGGTACCTGTGTAATTGCGCCACAGGATTGAGCTGTACTGTTTGGGTTGTCACGTGAAGGTCTGGATGGTGTCTGGTTCTCCTGAAAATCAATGTAAAATTACCCTGGCCCACATGGGTATATTGCATATAATATGACACCCTGTTTTGCCACAATACGTGAGCATGTATTTCAGGACGTTACACGTACTAGTCATACCTACTTTAACAAGCTAGAACTTCTGTTTGAAATTCAGAATTTAGATTAGACGAATACTTACAGAAGTATATTAGTTGTAGGTTTACACTACCCCTGAAAGTATTACGACGTAAATGACATCCACTATTGTTATACCTTTAACAGTAAAAGAACAAACAACAATAACAGTAATAATTGGCGAAATCATTACAGTATTCCATGATGATTTCAAAAGTGGGAGACGTGAAAATGGCATTTACCTTTTCTTTTTCAGTTCCTATAAGACGACGATCATCTCGATTTTTCAATTTACCCGGTGCTTCACCAATCGGTAGATTAGCATGTATGACAAATAATTTTCCAGAACGATTTGCAGCACGTAAAGCTTCCATTCCGGATTGGATAGCTGGGCCTAATACACTATCTGTAGGTTGTCTGTTTAAAGCATTCTCTGTACAAAATTGAGTAGGTATCATTTCTAAGATACTAGAAATGATAGCAGGATCAGGTGGTATCAAGAAACCTTCAACTGTAGGCACAAACACATCTTCGATATCCGCTACAATATACATTTGAGGTTTACCATAAGAGTTATAAGTGTTCTGATCTGTAGATTCAGATGTTTGTTGAGCAGATGACGACGACTCACGAGGTACAGTATAGAAGTGAAGTTGATGATCATATGTAATAAATCCCAATCGAATTGGATTAACCATATCTGGTGATGTAAATTTTTCCCTATATTAAGAACACAAAATACTGTAAGACTACTTAGTTACCCTTTTAAAGGAACCTTTAAAAAGAATCGTATAAAACTTTTAGAAAGACAGAATGTTGTCTTCATCGTAAATAAAAACAAATATGATTTATAAAAAACTGCAAAGCATAATAAGTGGAACAATTCAAACTGAAAATTCACCGAAATCAACAATAAAAATACTTAATCTAGTTGCTGGGGATTAGTTACTCCCAGTTTTAAATCTGATTGACAATGTAGTGTGAATTACTGAGCTCAATAATTACATATAGTAGATGTGCGATATTTAGTTTGATATTTATCACCAGAACTATGAAACCTACATTTTATGTATTCTAAAACAAATCGACAAAACAGATCTATAAGTTGTTGATGATAACAACTATGAAATCTGTGTGATGTTCTCACTGAAAAGTAAATCAATGATTAAGGGTACTTTCAGTAACTGAGCATTTCCTCAAAACTTTTATCTTATCAAATAGGTTGACCAAGACAAATTAATATAAGCAATAAATAGAAGTGACGAATCACAAGTAACGAAATGAAAATTAGTTAGAAAGAAATTTCTTCGCTCGGTTTGTTCCTTTTCTATTTATCGAATGTCAAAACGGGAATTTTCACTATATAGATAGAAGTATTTCCCTGGTCACCTTAAACTTGACACATGTTTCGCTTATATCAAATCCCTATTTTGTGACAAGTATTTACTGATAACAATGAAAAATATTAAAACATCTAAAAAGTTGGAGAAAATAGTATGAGGATTAGGTTTTTCACTGGATTTTCAATTTTTCAACAAGAGAATTTAATTTTTAAAAATGCTTCACATGTGTTGATATTAATGAATAATACAAGGAAGAAATACGTCATCATTTTAACAACATGATCCATTATGGTAACTTGAACAACTGTATATCTTTCTCAGCCTCTACGTTGATGATGACTGACTGACTGACTGACTGACTGACTAACTGACCACCCTCAATTCTACTCCATTATGGAGGGTTTAAAGTATTTATGATGAACTAATTTTTAGTTAAAACGATGGATAGAAATCTGGTCTATAGACTGTATGACAATAATATGTTATTGACTAATAAATGCTAACGATAGAGAATTATTGACGGAAACCTTAAAGGTAACAATTACAAAAAGATAATACTTGCTATTAGAATGAGAATTCTTTTTACTAAAACGACATTTGTATATACGACAGATTACGCATAAAAATGAATATGATTAGATGTCATTTGAAACGCCAGTGATTACAGACTGCGGGTCTTGTAGACCACTAACAAACCCAATGAAATTGTAATCTTACTAAATAGGCTCAATTATTGCTTGTTATATTGTAATAATAAGTGTGAAATAATCATTACCACTTACCTAGGTAAATTTGGTAGAATACGTTCTACAAACTGGGAACAGAATAGCTGTACTAAACCTGAACGTATAGCAGATTGGGAAACATCTAGTAGAAATATGATGGCTGGAGGTAAAGGTAATTGATTGTTTTTGCAATATTCCGCTGTTGCTAATAATTCGTAACTGCCTAAACATAGTTCAGGTCTTTGACCTGCATCAACTCGACGTCCAGTATGATCTAAATGAGCAAAATATTCAGCGGCAACTTCAGTTAAACCATTACAAAGTGGACATTGGAACCTTCGACCACCGTCAATAAAATTCATGAAGGGATTCATGTAGGCTTTACACCGAACACATCGAACTGGACCCTATAAAATAAGGACAAATATTTGAAAACTACTACACATCTGGACAGGATCACATGAATCTGTTAGCGGGACATAGACTAGATTAAAGCATGCCCAATGCATAATTGTTTTGGTGCACGCTGATTGGCTGATTCTTATCCAATCAGCACCAGTCGATAGTCGGAGATTACTCTGGAATCTTCTTATGTAAAAACTATAAATATACCGACGTTTTCCCCTATTGTGCTTCTGACTTGCTATTTTGGAATATAACTTTTTTCCTGTTCAACCGTGTTGATTTGGGGACTTGTCGAGTGAATCGGTGTCAGAGAATACTAAGCAATAGGAATAGCTGGGTCATTAACCGTAAGAAGAGAGAGTTATAACAGTGGCGACGGGGAAAAACTAAAGAAAAATGGCGATTTCTTTAGAACAGTTGCGGTTAATATTACAGCATCAGCAGAAGTTGTTAGCCTTGCAACAACAACTATTGAGCACACTTTTCACTCGACCAGAAAATAAATCTGTTTATGATGCAGTAACAGACATTTCAGAAGCATATCTAGAAGAGGGTTCCAATCCCTTTATACCTGAATCAGGACGTAATATTTGTAACGTGTCCGGCTCACAGCAAGAAAATACTGTGCTGAATGCTCATAAAGTTGTGGCAATACGAAATGATCAAGAGCCAGACCCTGTAGATGAAGCCCGGAGTCCAGAATTGAATGAAGCACTACTGGTCCTGTCTAGCTCTGAAAATAACTTTCAGCTAGAACAAATTTATGGTCCACGTGATATTAGCCAAGAAAGCTATGGGGACTCGTATTCAGAAAATAACTGCAGTGACACAACGAACCCAATTATACCGAATGTTACTCAAAATCATTGTGAGACAGAAACTTATATTGAATCAGCTTATCCGATTTCTAATGACAATGTATCAGACATGGGTTCTCAGAACAATGCATGTTATTTTGATGAAATTTCTCATGAAAATCAGGAAAATATATCAGCTGAGTCAAATTATGGTCAAAAGTCTAATTTAATTTTGTTAGATGATGATTTCCGTAATGATCCATTATCCACTGATGAAATTCCTAATGGATTTGAAAGTAATGCTTCAGAAGAATTAAACTTTGACCTCAAATCAAAGGTCGTTCATTATCATCTAGTCGTTTCTAGTGGATCCGACATTCAATGCGAGAAATGTCGTTTAAATAAAGTCCTATTATTTGAAACTTGAAGATATAAGGATCCGACATTGTTTCGCGGAGGAGGAGAATGTTGGAGAATTAAAAGTTATGCATACTTTTTTTTAAGAAAAATCAAAACGCCGGGAACAGACACGTCAGTTTCTGTGCAAGAAAAAAGTGATAATTCTTTATTGCTTAGACGATGGACTAATCGAGTGCACAAGCCAGTCACTCAGTTGCAGTTCGACCCTAGCACCAGATCCTACGAATCTGCTCAGAGGGGAGGTGTTAGCGGGACATAGACTAGATTAAAGCATGCCCAATGCATAATTGTTTTGGTGCACGCTGATTGGCTGATTCTTATCCAATCAGCACTAGTCGATAGTCGGAGATTACTCTGGAATCTTCTTATGTAAAAACTATAAATATACCGACGTTTTCCCCTATTGTGCTTCTGACTTGCTATTTTGGAATATAATCTTTTTCCTGTTCAACCGTGTTCTGATTTGGGGACTTGTCGAGTGAATCGGTGTCAGAGAATACTAAGCAATAGGAATAGCTGGGTCATTAACCGTAAGAAGAGAGAGAGATTATAACAGAATCTAAGGGAAAAACACTTATCATCATCAAAATCTGTCTGTAGGACAAGTAAATAAACCAATCAAACAGAAACTGTTTCAACAACACAAGTCCTTCCTACTGTTACAGACTACAAAAATATTTTTCATAGGACTATCGATTATAAAACATTCAATTCTATTATCCGTTACACAAAATAAAATATCTAGAGGCCAATTCGAAAATGGTTAAGATTTTATCTGAATTATTAGGGACTGTTACATATATCTGAGGTGTGGAGAGTTAACTCTCCCTCTCGAAATAGCCTTATATGGACACGCGTAAACAGCCACTGCCGAGGAAGTCCTTCTCATTACCTCCTCGCGACGAGGGTGATGTTTACGAAATTGAGAGGACGAAAAGCGAATGTCCGGCGCTTTAACCAGTTTAATAGACACGGAGGGTCCACCTAAAGAGGTCGCAAAAACCTGATTCCAAACCAATGGTGAACATGGGCTCCGGGATCCTGAATGAAAAGATGGCATACGAACCTATTGTTGGTCACCGGATACCATGAGACTGTATCTCCTGACGTTGCTCCACTGCCTTGTGGATAAGAACCTTTAGTTTGAAGGTTCCGGGTGTGGCCCCCTAAGAGAACCGCCTACTCCGATCTAGGCATATGGGCAATATCACATTCCACACACAGGTCAAGTGACTTGTGTGACGCATATGTATTCGGTGCCCTCTTGTAACAATGTTTATGTGCTTAAATAAATAAATTGATATTGGTTAGATATATATAAACCAGACTTGCATGATAGAAATAGCCTTTAGAAAACAGTGGGCGGTACTCATTTAGGACCTGACTTTTAGTCACTGAGTTGGGGGTTTAAACTTTATCTTAGGTCGTAACAGGAAAATTACTAGGTAATGAAACTGCGATTTCATTACGAACAAAATGATTCCGAGTGCTGTTAGACATATGAGGGTGGTTATCACTACCTTGTTGTCCATACTGTAGAACGATACTTTCAAAGCTACCTGAAAAGAAAATTGGATAAGTAGTGCTCTTGAAGACCTAGGAGAGTGACTGGAGTGTCCAAGGGACAATTGCTTAAGGTCGGCGGCACATGAACTTTTTGCCAGTTCTTGATATGTTAGCTCCGTACTTTTAAGGCCTTACCGTCGACGACGGAAATCTGTGGAGCATTGTGAGCCGTGTCATTTGCAGGGGCTATCTTTTCTAACTCTCTTCTGTTGTGGCAAGGTAGCGATGTTGTAGATAATGGTTTTCTTACCTACCTCACTGACCCTCATACACAAAATGTATGGCTGAAGATCAAGTGAACTCAACTGTGCTTGATGGATGATTTACATTAATTAGTTTTCGATAGTTAAACAAGTGCTTAAGAGGAATAATAAGTGTGTAAATTTTTATATAAATCAGATTATCTTATCCTTTTTAAGCCTATTAAAGTACTGTAGGCCTACCAGATTCTTAACAAACTCATGCGTTTTTTGCATACGTAATTCTTGTAGAAAACAAAATTTCACATTTACACTTATCCATCTTGTTCGTTTGCTGAAATACAAGTCTTAATTAGGTCACTTAGTTATATATCATTTCGTTACATTGCTGAAAAAGAATCGTCGAAAATGTTTAAATTCGCGCACGTTTTGGATTATATCAACAATCGTTAGAACATAGTATATATGTCCAAAATTATTGATCAAAGGAAAAACAGGAATGTCTTAGTAATTTGCTCTAAGCTGTGGATAAATAAGAGAACATATTCCAAGTTGGACTGAATTACAGTTTTGTATTTTTGTCAAGGAATAATCTATTTCTTTACACATGATTTCGTAGAATAAAACTGTAAGAACAAATAAACGAATAACAAAGTTGAATAAATCAGAAATGAGTTTCATGTATAATTACGTCAAATAACGAACAATGCTAGCCATTATTGTGTATCTACAGAAATAATTACTGTACATAAACAAAATGTATTTAAACTGATTAAATCGTACTAACAAAAATAGATTCCCGTCATTATTAAGTCTAACAAATTTATTTTAAAGGTATGATTTCATTTCAGCTCATTTTTTAGATAGCTCCCATTTAAAGGATACTACAGACAACTAGCAAAGTTCATAAATACTTATACACACGTCAATAAAAATACAAGTTAATAACCTGAATATGTACACTTCTTAGTCGATAAGGTACATCACTACGTTACAAATTCCAGTACCGTTTTGCTTTATAACAACTTACTTGTGGACCCATATCGCTTATCACAACATTCATATCTTCTGTATGTTGTACTGCAAATGGAGATATTGTAAGTGAAAACGGGATCCCAACAGTTTTAAGGAGATCTGATGAATTCGGAACAGAGTATAGTGAAGATCGAATGAAACAAGGTGCACATGTACCCTGGTCACGTGATATAAAGTCAGTTGTGACTAGAGGAGGCACAACACCTCGTTGTCCTGTATAAAAAGGTCCAGTACACTGAGCCCGATTGCTCTCAATAACCTAAAAAAAAAGAATTAAAGGTATAGGTAAATCGTAAGTTAGGTCAAAATCAAAGATAGTGAACATTTATAACCAGGGGTAACAAAGCTTTATGACAAGCTTATGAAAAGAATAACATCATATAACAAAAAGTCGAAATCGCCGAAAGTGATATAAGAAAGTCATTCACCTGTCAACTTACGATGCGACAAAATTATTTCTGGATACTTTTCAGTTACTTAAATAAAATTTTCAAACCATTCCTACTAATAACGTTTACTATAGAAATACTACATATCTACTTTGTTAAGTGCATACCAACAACACACACAACCACAGATTCGTATCATACATTAACTTCAAAATCTTAGACCGTCCACTAGCAATGACGACTATATACACTGTGTGCTTTAATCAAACGTGTAGGTTCTTATTCACAAGCTGGACTAACCCAGTTTACAGGAATTACTTCACTTAAGACGTATGACAAATAATCCGGTTTTTAAAAGGTGCACTTTATTAAGCTGTTAGAAATACGTATGTAAAAATAAATACCCAAACTAAGTGAATATAGCCCAGAATGAAGTTTACAACAGAAGAATAATCAACCTATACGCAACCACTAAAAGTTCACTATTAGATTTTGAAGTTGATTATAGGAAACACTGGACCTAGTATATTACACTCGGATTCACAGAACTTGAAGGAAAGTCGAAATATTAGTACATATTATGACAGACAGGTATAGATTCCATTTGCGACGACGAAGATCAGTTCTATATATATATATATATATATATATATATATATATATATATATATATATATATATATATATATATATATAAGTTGTTTTGCCATAAATCCGCTAGAACTAGTGAAATCCCTTTAATATGAGACAGTCAAACCATCACAAAAAGTTATGAGCTACTGTCTGAGTCATTATCATGTAATGGTTGGTTATTTCTATTGACTTTTGACATCGTATTATTCTACTTTTATTGAACCAATTATCTTGTTTATTTAAGTTTTTTACCAGAGAAATCAACTCTACTATTTTTGTCTCGATGTCTTGCTTCGATGAGGAAAGTGGTGACCCGATATGCACAAGATGTTCAAATGATAACATTTATGTATTTAGTTTACTTAACTAAGCTCTTTTACAAATCGAATTGACTAATGAAAATCATGTTCTGTGGAGATCCTTACGCCAACCAATAAATGCACGGGGAACATGGTTGGCTATCTATACGAATATTCATCATCATTTGAACGTTGTTATTTAAATACCAATTTCTGGAACGATTTCAAGTATATGTTTAGGAAATAATTGTTAGCTATTGGCAAACATATAAGTTCTGAACACTTTAATAAAAAAGGTACAAAAACAGGTCTAAATAGTGTTCCAACTATTGTGAGTTAAATGGGAGGGTGAAACAAGCTAGTTACGAGATGCCTGGTTTAGATTTAAGCAATAATAAATGAGAATTCCAAAATCACATTCCTATGTAAATTTGCCCCGGGATCCCCCCACTTGGCGATATATATCACCAATATAAACGGGAAATTGTCTAAATGTTGATGGTACAAGAGGCATAATAAACATGTTAGACCATGAGATTTACTAATAATTATAAAACAAAAACTATGAAATTTGAATACCTCGATAGGACTGGGTAATCTATCTGCATTTATACTTTGAGAGAACTGTGGTTGTCTGGATACTGGACCGTTTTGATATGCCTGTTGAGAATGTAATGTATTTATCTGGGTGTTAGCACCATTTGGCAATGGAAACGGACCTGGAGGTTGAGGTTGTCGATAACTGGGTGGTGGAACTCCCTCATGCCCCGGAGGCATTGGTGGCATTGGAGGAAGACGCGGCTGCTGAGGACGTTGAACAAAATCCTGATGGTTTGGGATAGGAGGCATGGGTGGCAACGGTGGTTGATTCACACTCTGTATTGACTGAGCGGAATAATATGGAGGCTGAGATTGTGGTTGGAAAGTCTGTCCTTGATTTCCAGAACAGTAGTTAGGTGGTGGCTGGAAGCTGCTGTTAGGATGACCTTGCGGGTAAGTATCTGTCACATTTGAGTTAGAAGCACCATAAACGTGCTGACCAGAAACACCGGGGTAACCGTATTCTTTCTCTGGCTGCAACGACTGACGATTGTACATACTCTGACCATTTTGATTGTGTAACATTATCTGAACTTTAATGCATTAGGTAAAGGAGTCACTATAAAAGTGAACCAATTAACGAGAAAACCCTGTGACGTATTTCCTCTACGAACACAGCGGTAAATCCGTAGGACAAGATGTAGTGCGTTCAAACGACATAGACTATAGAAACAAGGAAACTTATTATTTACACTAGTATCGACCGCAAAGCTTACATTGTGTTTAAAAGAGATATGAAATTCGTTTAGCGGTAGTTAGAAAGGACAGGGGGGTAAATTGCGCATTCACGATCTCGCCTCGCGAAATTTGAACCCGAGACTGTTATTAAGTGTAAAACATTTCATATCTATGCACTGTATTGCATCGGCTCGATAATACCAAAAATTTTGAATTGCCTTTCATTTAAAACACACCTTATATGTTTATTGAATTCTCAGGTCTTATGAGCATTTTCATTAATTGACCATCATTAAAACGACCAATAAAATTGATGTGTGTACTAAACTACCATTCAGGGTAGAGCAAAAAGTTACTGCACACATAAAAGGGAGATAATAATTTTCACCTGCCGTAGGAAAAATTTTACTGAGAATATGAAAGAGTCACAAGAAAAACAAAGTAGCATGAACAAAGAGACATTAAGATAGAATACGAAAATCGTTTATTCATTTGACATACACAATGGGAAAACCAAGGTCCTCAATTTCAAAATGGAGAACAGCAATGCAATCACTCTTGATGGCGAAATTCTGGAAGATGTAGAATCCCTCACATACCTGGGAAGCATGATCGATGAGCAAGAAGGTTCAGAAGCAGACGTAAAGACGAGAATTGGCAAAGCAAGGGCCGCATTCCTACAATTGAAGAACATATGGAACTCAAAACAACTTTCAACCAATATCAAAGTGAGAATCTTCAATACGAATGTCAAGGCAGTTATACTTTACTGAGCTGAGACTTAGAAAACTACAACAACCATCATCAAGAAGGTGCAAGTATTTATAAATAGCTGTCTATGCAAGATACTCAACATCCATTGACCGGATAACATCAGCAACAGCCATTTGTGGGAAAGAACAAACCAGCTTCCAGCTGAAGAAGAAACTAGGAAAAGATGATGGAAATGGTTAGGACATACATTACGGAAATCATCACACTGCATCACAAAGCAAGCCTTGACTTGGAATCTTGAAGGGAAGCCGAAAAGTGGAAGGCCAAAGAACACAGTACGTCGTGAAATAAAAACAAATAGGAAAAGAATGAATCACAACTGGAAGGAGCTGAAAAGGATTGCCCAGGACAGAGTTGGATGGCGAGTGCTGGTGAGGGACCTATGCTCCTTCACAAGGAGTAACAGGCGTAAGTAAGTAAGTAAGTTATTGTCATGACCTATGGTTGACTGCTGTGACTGTGTCATGTCACATGTAATATGTATACAAAGATACGCGAAACATGTAATAAATCATCTGTGAGAAACAATAATTTTTATAAATGGAAAACAAAGATTTTATTTACTAGTGATTGGTTTGGTAGGTTTTATCAGACAAAACCAACCAAGAATACAGTCAGCAAATATGAAAGTCGCCATAATGTAGTGTAAGGCAAAAGTAAAACGGTTGTAAAAAAACCAAGAACATTGGGGAGTTAAACACTGTTAAGAGGTTAGAAACCCGAAGAAAAAACAAGGTACGTGTGAATAAAGAGCACAAACTAGATAACGTGAAAGACATGCCAAGAAGAACAATCAAAAAGTATTCGGATTGGGAAACAAACCCTACTCAGTTCATTTAGATACTCTTAGCCCACACCTATCATAATATGGGATCGTCAAAGGAATTTTCATGTAGTTCCCGAACTACGTTTATTTGCTGCAACTAATTTGTCTATTGATTAAACAATTGTTGATTGAATAACTAGGCAGCAATATTTGTCTAGGTAATGCTGTACACTTATATTTATAACGAAATCTAGAACCGTCATTTACTCAAACACCATGTTTTGGTTTCAACTGAGCTATAGCGTGTACCTAAACCAACCTAGACGGTTATTTATCATTCCAAACTTATTTCGTCTGGAGGCTACAAGTATTGTAATGTTTTTTTCGATATAGACATCAAAGTGGCCACTTTACCCAGATTCCAAGAAACAGTAATCCATATTACGTTCTGATCTTGAGGTGTGACTTGACATCATCCCCACTCAATTCAAGTTGACCGTGGACATCCAAATAGATCCCCTTCATTAGCAATCTACACACCAAATTTCTCATAGTTCTCACCAGATTAGATCAATGAAATGTTTCATTAGTAAGTCATACTCAAGTGGACGTCCATTCAAAGTGGGATGAGAAAAAGTCGTAAGAAACCCGTGCAATGTTATCGTCTTCAGAATCAATATGTTATGAAAATTTTGATAGAAAGCTATCGTATTGTAACTTTCGTGCCACTGAGTACACCTCGTCTTATGGATAGGAGAAACCAGACTAGCCTTGAATAGGACGTTATTTAGATCGTGAGACAGAAAACAATGGAGCACGAGATTTTACAGCACTTGGCATAAAGTAATAGATTTAATGGTTATGTAAAACACGGAAGTGAATGAATACTTTAGCCATAATGTTTTGACATCACTAAGATGTTTATGGCTAAATCTTAATCAATTAACCTGAGTTGTTACAGAACTTCACTCCTCGACCAAATTATCTTGACCTTTATTTTTTAGAGGAAACACGACATGAACAATACTTCCCTCTCGAAATACCAGGGTTCAGATCTCAAAGAGCACAATTCTCCCATTCTACCGAAGTTGTAGTACTAATTTACAGAGGCTGATTGCTATTATTAATTATCATATATCTGAAGTCTAAATAAACACACTGATGATCACCTGTCTTCGGATGTGAGGGATTGCTATGCGAACGACTTACTGCGTCCTCAAACATCTTAAGGTACTAAATAGACGCGGCACTCTCAACTTGTGCGCCACTTGGTGTAGTTTCGGGTTTGTTTGTTACGTTATTTTTAAACTATGGGACTTGAAAGTGTGTATACTGTTTGATCACAAACTTAAATAACATCAAAACGTCATCTTTCCTGCGTTAAACTACCGCGGTAGAGAAAACTGTACAGTTCCATCCAAACCCCAACAATTAGGATAACACGTTTTACCTGTTTTTATCCAAACAATATGCATTTATGTTTATGTTCGGTCTCTACCTAAAAAACTGCTGATTAAATGGGCAGTTGTTTGATCGGATACTCTACTTGTCCAACACTCGGATGAAACACTATATATATAGTCTGTTTCTTCCTAGTGGACTATAGTCCATTCAATTCTAAATGGACTTTGGGAATATTCTCAATATTCAGTACCATAGGTTGTAACTTAAGACATCATTAATGGTCTCTTCTGGGCGTTTTTTGGAAGTTTTAATTAAATGACTGAGATTCTTTAACAAGTTGGGTAACTCTGCCAACCCACTAGTCATAATATTTTGACTTGTAATGAGCTGTTTCAGTAAAGTGAATTATTTTGGGCTTATCTGGTATTAAGTGCTATGCGTGTGCCATTCTAGACACTGTTGTCAAACAGGACTTGGAGAAACCCTGAAATGTAAAATCTTGGCTTGCCAATAAAGACGAAAATTATCAATGATATTTATTAGCATAATTGATTTGTATTTTTACTCACGCCTACTTTCTTTCTCTTTAATCCGATTTCTGACTGTTCTAAAATCGTGTCAACTGGTGTTATCAATATAGCTTAGGTACTTATGTGGTGTCAAGTTGTGTTAAATTAAAAAGGATAACCAAGTAAAATATGAAGTGAATGCAGAATCTAGCGAAACGATCCAGACAGATGATACATGGAATAAATATTGGAACTCATAACATTTTTTAAACCATTCAAAAACAAAATCTACAGATTGGATTGCCACTCGCCTCGTGAGTTTTACGTGATATCTTAGGTCAGTTAGTCTCATGACCTCTAAAATTTTGCCCAGTGGTCCAACTGTCCAAGGTAATTGCTATAGCCACTAAGCTACCGCTTCACACTTAAGCTAGAGAGACTAAGGTATTCTTGGGTCTGTCAAGCAACTGTTGAGTATTTTTATCCTTCAAATCCTAGTGCATGGATATACCTATCCACGTATCTCGAGGTGAAGAACTTTCCGGTTAACTCTATCGATTTACATGTTCCTGACATAGGATTTCATCAAGAGGTGTATTGCACTAGCAAATGTTGTTTTCCTAGATAATTTTGATCATATTAAAATTCACGGTGTGTTATTTTATAAAATGACTGCATCACATATCATTCATCAAGATTGTCAGGTACTCATTATTCATCTTTATGATCAGCCATAGGCAACCTAAGATCTTTAGTGCGAGTACCACTATAAGTCAACACACTGCATATCAACACTGTAAATAACACAAAAGCAAACCACTCGATCATAACGAGAATAGGGCTTGGGACAAAGCTGTCCTAGCCCAAAATAATGACTAGAACTGTCGATAATTGAAAAAGGTAAATATAGGGAGTGTAGTTTCAGAGAAATTAGTAAAATGATAAATAATATCCACGCCGCCAGAAGTGATTTTTATTCTTGTTACCTGAGCTCTTTAACTTCAGGTTAGGATTATCACATGACATCCAACTAGGAAGTATCGCTCTTGACCGTGATGTTAGTCTGGCTGTAAAAGGCCGGATCTACAACGCGTCGGTGAGAGCAGTTTTTCTCTATGCTTGTGAAACCTGGTCTCTCCGAGTTGAGGACGTTAGACGACTCTCTGTGTTCGATCATCGCTGTCTCCGAAGGATTGCTGACATTCAGTGGCAACACCATGTCAGTAATGCAGAGGTTCGGCATCATGTGTTCGGGCACAGAGATGATAACTCAATTGGTGTTACCATCTTGAAACACAGACTTCGGTGGCTTGGACATGTTCTACGAATGTCGTCCCAGAGAATTCCACGTCGTGCATTATTTGCCGACTCTGGGACTGGTTGGAAGAAGCGGAGAGGTGGTCAGTGCATGACATGGTGTCGTGGCATGAAAGAAAGCTGCAAAGGACTGGCTTCTGTCGGTCCTTCACGGCTCCCTGGTTGGGGTCCGAGAGATGGTG